TCGGTGAACATCATTGCGATAATGATGATGGTGATGATGATGGTGACGATGATGACGACGGTGATGTTGGTGGTGGCGATGGTGATGGAGATGACATTCAAGACGATGACGATGATGGTGATTGTAATAATGGTGATCGTGATAATGGTGGTGGTGATGCTGGTGATAGATGATGCTGGCGCTGATGCTGATAGTCTGATAGTGATGATGATGGTGACGATGATGATGACGGTGCTGGCACTTGTGCTGGTGCTGGTGCTGGCACATATGCTGATGCTGATGCTGCTGGTGGTGGTGATGCCGCTGTCGCTTGGACTGCTGGTGCTGCCGCTCGTGCGGCTGGCGCAGCTTGTGCTGGTGGACGCGGCTGGTGATGCCGCTGGCACTGCTGGTGCTGCTGACGATGACGACAGTTCGTCATATCGTAAGCCCACAGAAAACCATAACAAGCACAAGCAAGCATAAGGTGAGCAATAGCAAAACGAGACACATGGGTATCCAGATCTACATACCTACGTAAAGCGCCCGCCCGCACGTGTTGGTACGCTTGAAACGAATGGTCGCTCGTACTTTCAATGATCTTAATGGGGTGTAGCCTTAGCCCCATGGCATGCGCCATGCACTCACTGGAAAGAAAGCGCAGGCATGCGCAGCCACAAACAAAACATGCGGTATTACTGACTTAGCCAAGTATGAAGGTACTTGTACAGAGACTGGCGTCCCAGTCTGCATCAGCAGCCTTAAACAGCCTCGTTTTAGATGCCCACATTTCAGGTGTGGAGCAAGCCTCACCTCGGTTTTTATTCAACATGATTCAAGTTGTTTGCACAGACAGACAAGCGACGACAACACAACAGGCCGGCAAACATGAACGCGGAGGCTGTGGGCAAGCAAACAAGCTAAAGGACAGATGGACACTTTTATTCCCTTAGCCTTCCATCTTTCCCCAGTGGCCTGAAATCATGGTCCTTGTTGTAGCGCTCCCAGCTCAGGACCTGACGATAGAGAGCTCTCGAGACGACCCGACCTGCTAGCCTTCACGCCGAAAGCTGGCTTCCGCCACGTACCCTCCTAGTTCGTACTCACAGATGCGAAACGACATCGACTGAAGGCTCTCAGTGCCATACTGCCGCAATGATTCATTCACCGAGAAACCTATGAAAATCCACAAGCATGAACCGAGAACATGTACGACATCTTTGAGAACACTTTTGAATGAGGGACCCAGAATTCGGCATAGTGGAATACTGTGTCATTGACATAGACCGCCAGTTTTGTTTGCCCCTCCAAGCGCAGGACGAAGCTCAAATTGTAGCAGGGATGTATGCACCTTGGCATGCCAGACCTACATCATCGAAAGGCTCCATTTCGAGATGATTATGGAGGGAAAGGGCGTCGACGGGGTACTTCTGTGTTGACACCCAAGCTTGTCATCCAGTCAATTTACCAATCTGGTCAGTTTTCAGTCTACTACCCGAAGTGCACGGTAGTACACCGATCGCTATAGTAAACTCCTCTAGACCTTGCCAGGGTGGCGTCTGAAACACGGCAGTGCAGTGAAGCCCCACAGACAGGCTTGAATAAAGCGGAAGCCCAATGGCTGTCTCAGCTCGTCGTCAGACTTGTTGCCCTCCTGCAGCAGATGCCCGGATTAAGGTAAAAAGGGACCGATATCTGCAAACCACTCGAGAAAGAATCATGCGCATGCTTGCACGTCAGCGGTTCAGGGAGTGCAAACTTCGGCCTCGCAGCCTCCGCAGCTGTTGTAGCGAGGGAACTCAGCAGGAGTTGTTTGCGCTCTCTGCGCGTTGACGCTGCCTCGAATGTGCGATAGGACCGATAAGAAGACTCGATGACGATTCGGCACTTCGCTGCAATCATCCCTCCATCACGCTAGATCATGGAGTCACGGTGAGGACTCTCGCGCAAAGGAGGGGCGATTGAATTCAACATGTATTCATGCTTTGCGCCTGAAGCTGTTTCTAGCTTCTGCACATAAATGGACCCTTGACCAAACCCAGAAAAAGCAGCCCGTTGGGCTGCAGCCCAGCCTTGTGCACTCAGGCTTACTAGGTTCCGGCCCACAAAGACCACGACGCCAAGCAGGATCCTCAGCAAAGGCTATGTTCTTATCTAAAAGCAGGAGTCTTCCAACTATGTTCTTATCTAAAAGCAGGAGTCTTCCAAGCTTGACCCCGGCAGCACTTGCCGGGGCCCTTGGATTCGCCATGATTCGCCCATCGGCCAACGGGATCACACTCGTTGCAAGAACATGTCTTGCTAATGGCTTTGCACCGCAACTCGATCCCTTGCTGAAATTAGAAATGTCACCCAAGCCTGCACGTCTTTTGGCCTCGAGATATCAAGTTTTGGAGGGCAGCATCAAGCAGTCGGGTCGTCAAAACGACTACCTGCACGGCGTAGTGCCGATGAGTTTTCTTACGTGCTCCCTAAACCTAGCAGCTAAAGTTCCTGCCAATGGCCCGCCCTACCTTTGCAGCTCAGGTGCAGGAAAAGACCGCCTCGGATCGCAGGGAAGGGGCAGAACCCAACCCTGATCCAGAATGCGTTCAAGACGCGTATGGAGCACCGAGACACCAAAACCGACACAGGCTCCATGTCACTGCAAATAGGCAAAAAGCTTCTTCAATCTCACATGTGCATGCTGATGGAACCATCAAAGGGTGTGAACAAACGTCAAGTGCATGTATTTACGATGGGAAGGTATGCAGCTGCAAGGCCACAGGGGTCTGGACGTATACTTTAGGAGCAAGTTTTGCGACAGAGCGTGCTGTGACTGCATGAATGTGTCTTTGGTGCATTGCATGTCAAGGGAATGGGACTATCGGCTGGCCAGCCCAGGAACACAACAAGCCCTCGACAACTTACGCTGCCAGGCTGCAGAAGGACGCGAAGCATGCGACGAGGCAAGCCCGCGCATCTCGCTTGTTGATGACGATGAGCCTTGTTCCCGAGAGTGTCGCGAGCAAGCAGGGAGTGAAGGAGCCGCAGTCGTCGCAGTTGTTACTAACTGGCATCGCCAGGTATTGACAGCAGCTGCGGGTGGCTGAGGAGTCTTGAGTCTTGAAGCGCCTCAATCTGGATGCCGTCTCTCTACGGTTTAAGCTGCTCCGAAACTGTCCGATGAGCTTTTATAGCTACTCGGTATCGAACTGACCTTGGAGCGAAATGCAGCACACTTCAAAGAAGAAAAGAACTGGGGTCGACACGGCTCAGGTCCGTCGTCCGAACCCTCAAGGCTGCTGCGGGGACCTTTCGAAGACTCGTGTCTCAAAAAGTGGTGAGGAGTTGAGCACATGATGGGACACCTCTTTGCCGGAAATTACAAGCGAGGAGTTCGCAAGACCGCTGGAACTTCCCGGGACGGACTTTGTCGGACTTTACTAACTTCATCCAAAGCACTCGCGCCCGGCAGAACCTGCACGACCACGAAGCGGGCATGTGGCATTTGGCGCTTCAGGGAGTTCTGGAGTTCGGTACAGTACCGGCATTTTCCAGGCTTGTGATCCAGGCTGGGCTATTACAGTAGTCAACAAAATGTGCACTCAGGGAGGCGGGCGGTGCATGAGAAGACTAATTCGACTTGAAAGCCGTGCGGCTAACTTTCACCATGGGGAATTTGGCACGAACTACTGACGACTTTGATTTCGTCCCCTAGACCCTCGGTGTGCCGTGCAGCATCCGAACACTTCAAAGAACCCGTACGGTGCGTCTGTATATCATGGGTTATCCTGCATCGTAATTGACTTCACTTTTTTCATTTGATATCAACACATGGCATGCATAGTGAGCTCCGGTCGACCAGAACGCACCATGAGATGATGATATACTATAATATGATCTAACAATTCGTAGAAGTGCACTGTAGTTTACCGGACTGCAATTCGTCAGGGAAGTTGTATAGTGTCGTAATGCTATTTTCCAGAGTACAGCGGAATACAATGGGGCAAATGCGAATGAGGGCAAATTTTCAACAGTGCTTACAGTAACTGTAATACAAGTATAGTGAACACTTGTATGTGTGGCTGCTCTTGGGTTCTGTTCTGCCTTTACCACATTTTTATACATCTCTTGAGCCGATCCTCGTTTTGCTGTAGTGTTTAGTGGTGTTCTGCTGTCGGTATGCATGCAATCTCCCACCTCAGCCGCGAAACCTCAACTCCCAAATATGCAACCACCAGGCTGCAACATCCCGTGCGAACTGGCAGGTAAAAGCACCAACAACTCAACAGAGAGCGCTGGCGCTCACATTGAATAGGCTTCCACTCAATATAAGCTGTCTCGTGGCAAAGGCCTCGACCAGTTTGTAACCTGGCGGTGTCCAGGCTTTGTTTAGGACGATAGTGTATGCAGAGCAAGGGCACCGAGATGTGAGCGACAGAGCCATTGAGAGCAACCCGCCACGAGGCACAACTTGGCCAATCGACTGAGACTCTCGCTCGGTTGGCCAGACATGGCACAAGAATCTTCGAAACTAACCGCAATTCACCGCTCTGCTTGCGCTACAGCTGCGCCGCCTAGCTCAACTCTTGGATTGCCGGTCTTCTGGCATCTTTGCTGCTGCCCTCGGAAGCAAGGGCTTCCGTTTTCACTTCTCCGTTGACAGTCGGATCCTTCAACCAAAGCACGCTCCTCGTTCACCTTATCAACCAGCAGTTATGAGCGGGCTGTCAGCCTCACGCTAGCAACCGCTACCTGGTCCCTCGGGTGAATCAACAGCTCACAACAAAACCTTTCTAGCTGCTTTGCTATCCTGGCTCAGGTGGCGCAGGTTTGGGCCTAGTAGGAAAGCTGCAAACCTCCGAGTGGATTCCGGAACAGGCGGCGTGGAGCTTGTGAGCCACGAAAACATGATCTGTGATGCGAATGTAGCGCAGCACCTGATCCAACACAAGCCGTTAGAGGGCCCTAAACCTTAGCTAAGGCCTCATGGAGCCTTGCAGCTGACACAAAAAGATGAAGCGCTGCCGGCCCGGTGCCTGAAAAGCCCTCCAGTCCACATCAGCCAGCAGAACCGGCACCTGTTCGTGCCAGGTTGGAGTCGCGGCTGAAGCAAAAAACCGCAGTCTTTCCTTTGCGCACTCCATAAACAGGAAAAAGAGGATGAGACCGACCTACTTTGCCGCCATGAAGAACCGGATAACCAGCATCGCAAAGAGCTCAAGCCGAAGGCTACAGTATCGAGTGTGCTTGCAATGATCTTTAGATCGCGGCCGGCATTGTGTGTCAGTGTGTTCGGCATGCTTGCAGCAAACGTGGTGTGCTCGCCAGGATCCTGGGCCCACCCCAGAAGCATAACGAACGAATCATAACAACCAGCCACGTTCGCGTGCCCCCGCCCTACCACCCGGAACGCGGACACTGCACACTTTTTCCTTGTGAGGTGGCTGGTCGCGAGCGAGCTTAGCTCGTCGGTCGCCTCACCTGCACCCTTCGATGCAAGGAGGACTTACAGCACAAACCTCTCTTCTCAACTTTAGGCGAAGCGCCGGTAAAGCCCACCACCGTCATCGGTGGGCCCTCCTGTCTTCACTTCTTCAGGCAAGGCGCCGGTAGGGCCTGTCACCAGCCTTCACTGGCGAGGCCCTCCTGTCTTCACCCGCCTCCTACTTCTTTCTTTTCCTTTTCAGTACCTCGGCTGGTACACTTAAGGCCTATGAGCTACCCTCCGTCCCGAAGGAGGTCATGGGGGAGCTATCTCACCTCCGGAGAGGGAAACCGCCGGGAGCCCCCGTTAAGAGGTAACCCACAGGGGTCAGCGGGGGAAGGGAACCCCGAGGACCCTAATCTCCCTCACCTGCCTGCCGCGACTCCCAAAAGGAAACGCAAACCCTCGCTACCCCTTTTCCTTTTTCTCAAACGGAGCTGTGCAATCTTGAGGCCCCGTACGGCCGAAACGGTGCCGCAGCAAGGGCCTCGGCGGAATTTTCCCGCGATTGAGTCCCATCTGCGACCACTTCCAACCACACTTCGTGGTCCACGTGTGGGAGGGGCCGGAGAGCTGCAAAGGCTTGTGGAGGATGGCGGTCTCTGCGTTATGAACCAGCATCTCCAAGGCCCCATGAGCCATTATTATGTGGCGGTCCGGGCATGGGGGGTGATAGAGCTTCGCTCACCTCGCCGAATGCCGGACCCGCCTTCGCGTGGAGCCATCTAGTGAGCCGCACCAGCTGCCCTCACGATGGGCGCCTCTCGGAGGTAGCACTCTTCACCCCCCTACACATGCCTCGTTCTCCATTTTTCGGGTCTCCTTCCTCCTTCTTGGAGGCGGCGCATGCAGGCCCCGGTGATGAGGCTTCCTGTCACCGTTTCCGCACCAACTTGTTCCAGGCGGGCCTTTCGAAGCCTTCCACGGACTTTCGAGTCTGCCGCCTCTTCTGCCTCTCGAGGGGCCTGGTTGCCGCCCATCACAAATCCCTTGAAGGCCTGTGTGAGTCCCTGACAAAGCCCGCGTTTTTTTCGCCGCCTCTTATACGCCTTTCTGTCCCACATGTAAGATCGCAAGGGGTGCTCGATTGAGAAGAAACGCCCGCCCTCTTCTTGGACATTCGTGATGGCCTCGGCCCTCAAGGCGAGTAGGTTTCCCTCCTCTGCCTCGAATCCCAGCCCTCAGGCTTGGAGTCCGACTGGTGAAGGTGCGGCAAGGAGGGGCAAGGTGGATCCAGAGGGGCTTGACGGGCTTGACCCGCTTTATCCACTCGAGTGTCTCGACGAAGACGTCGTCGTTGGTAAGGTCCCAAACCCGCTCTCCTTCGTTCTTGTCCAACGGATCCAGCAGAGCCGATCGGACCGCGCATGTCCTTCCCTGCAAAGAGCTCCAGGAAGACGGGGGCCGCGTCGCCCTCCCGGGTCGTCGCCTTCTTGCCCGCAATTTTTCTACCGGGTCGGCGCAGGCTTTCCTTTACACTTCTCCGACTTTCGAAGCGCCGGGCACTCTTGACGGAGTGCTTGCCACTTCTGGCACACGTGCGCGTATCTCCTCGGGCAGGTCCGGTTCCCATCGCCATAACCGAAGCAGATGTTGCGGCCATTCTGGTCCGTCAGGAATCTCCCCCCTGGCGTCGCGCTTCAGACCCTTCCCACCTTTGCCCTTTCCTCCCTTTTCTCCGGGAGGCGGCGTGGGAGGCGGTGGCGCAGCCAAGGCAGCAGCTTCCTGCTCTTGCTTGACCAGCCTTGCACGCAGCTTCTGCACCCGCTCTTCTTGCCAAGCGGCTTGGGCGGCTGCTCAGCGCTCCCTGCCACGTCCGTGCCGGTGCCCGTGCCACCCGGAGCAGTCCTGGCCTTGCCAGAGGCGGTCCTCTGCCACCACGAGCAAGTGCCACACATGCGGGCACTTCACAACCAGGTCCCGAAACCGATCTCGGTAAAGTTCCAGGGCACTCTGGGTGACCACAGGATATGTGCTTGCCGAGGGGTTCTTCACTTCGAACATGAGCAAGGCGTTCTCGAAAACATTCCAGGAAGCAAGCCAAGCATCATGGTTCGGAGGCCCCCGGACTTCCACCGTCCTAAAGGAACCATCGGGCTGCAGGATGTGGTTCTTGCAAGAACTTCAACGACTTAGCGAAGCGGTGCTGGAAGTTGACAAACAAACAAAAGTCCGCATATAGGGCGACATGTCCAGGTCCACCAGCCTCACCTTTAAGGCGGAGACCTGGCCCGGAGACGGTTCCGCCTCCGGTCGCACGGGACCTCCGTTGTACTTTTCCAGCACCTTGAAGTAGCCGTCGATCTCGTCCTGCTTCAGTTCCGGCACCTCCGCTTCGTCGGCCTGGTCAAGAACACTACTAACCTTGACCTTCCTCTTAGCCTGATCACCAACGGCGGTGCCGGCCGAAGGCCCCGCGCCAAGAGCAGCCGCCGGCGGGGCGGCTGGTGTCGGCAGGCTTGGCGCCATCTGATAAAGATCCATGTCTCCCTTCTGGGCCTTCTGCCTCGCAACACGCCAGCAACCCCACCTGCGTCGACTCTACCACGGTAAGGCCTCGCTGAGTGGGAGCCTGGTAGTCGGGCTCCCCCACTGTGCCCACCGCGGGTATAGAGACGCGCGAGGCAGTCAAGGCCATCTTGAGAGCATCCGCCGGGATGTTGCCCAAACTCCGAAGACTGGGAACTCCACCGAGGACACCGCTCACAGCATTCCAGGTACCACCCTCCAAACCGACCCACACCAAGGCCTGCTCGATGGTAGTGCCGCAGCAGACGCAGCCATGGCTCGAGAAAACGGATTTTCTCCTTGGTACCCCCGCGGCCCCGGGGGGAATCCAATCCCCGCGCGGTTCCCGGTGGCACCCTCGAGCCACGGCTCAGGCGGTCACTTAATGAGGTAACCCTGCCCCCAGCAAACATGTTGGTTGTTATTATTTGCACTTCGTGCAAGGCATGACAAGGGCCTAGGTTCCGACAGGAACCCATTGCTGCTGCCCGCTGCCCGGAGAGCCACTGAACGGCTTGCTTCTTCGGCCCGAACCTGGGGACCGGACACGAGGCGGGCCCGTCGCGACCAGCATGGCCCGAAGGAAAGCTGCACCTTGATACCAGTACGGTTGGACCAGGAGTGACATGGTTTCAGGGCTGTCGATGCAACTGGTAAAGACGGTGAAGATTCAGCGGCCGTGTAGAACTTTCATGCGCCACCCAATTGACTTAGTTTCCGGCAGTTCTGGAACGACAGTTCGCGGATTGCAGAGACGGCACTGGCCTGGAGTGGAGAAGGTGGAGGGAGTGCAAGCCAGCCCCGAAGCACCAAACAACTTCCAGAGGTCTAAGGCCGCAGCATAGCGTAAGGGTTGCTTCGCGTTGGACCCCACGTCGGCAACACGCGAGAACCTGAGGTCTGGGAGAAGGCTGACAAAGCTTCCAATAATACCAAGACAGCACATAAATCATAGCAGCCACAGCAGAACGCAAGCGAGCAGTCGCCACCAAGGCACTGAAGAGAAAGCCCTGGTAAACCTTGGGCCCTTCTCTGTGCCAGCAGGCCGTCCACCACCAGATTGGCTGTCTGCACGCAACACCGGGCAATGGAGACCGAACAAACAAAGCTGTGCTTCGAGCTTCTTCTTGCGGACGGGAGCAAAAGGGTGATGCTTCGGGATGCTACACACGCAATTGGGTTTTCGCGTTGCGAACTCCAAGGGCGAAATCGTCAACCGAAGCTCAGATGTTGGTGGGCTGAACCTGTCTGTGCCACAACCCCGTTACATCGCTGGTCAAGCCATAATTTTTCTGCACCGTGGCTCGAGATCCTAGCTCCTTCTGTTGGCACATGTGGCAGCGAAGCTTGTGGCGACAAATGGATGCACTGCTTCAGACTCCAATCCCACCAACTTCAGGAACCGAAGCTTGCGTACGAAAAATCAGGAACAATCTCTGGCTCTCATTCTGTCTCTCCCTCCATATCTCCGGCCGCAATGGCAGCATTGGAGCCCTGTCCCAACCTTAGGCGAACGTGCGAATGGCTCACGGAGTCCGAGACTGGCGCCGCAGGAACATATCATAAGATCTAGCCACCCTCGAGGAGAAGTGTCCATGTCCCCATGCAGTTGGACATTAATCCTTGCTCGACTTCGACTCGCAGCAGAGCAATGACTGAGAAGCGGTCTCGGCGTACACGAAAACACGGAATCAATCAACGGGAAGTATTTGCACCTGTCTAAAGATTTCGGAAGCTAGACGCTGGTCCGGCGAGCACGTTCACGATCAAGATTTGGGGGCTTTGTTGTGACGGGTGAATCTGACGGGGTAGGGAGGTGGCATTTAGCAAACCGTCTCCAGCGATACTCCGACTCCATAGCTTCTGCGGCGTACACCAAAACCTGATCCATGTGCCTATGCTGTCAGGCTTGCGCTTTCAACCCAAGGGCTTGAAGTGCCCCATGACAACAAAGGAGATGTGAATCTTTGCAACAGAAGAGATGGACATGCCCAAAGGCTGCGATTGAGCATTTCGGAGGAGTGAAAGCTCATCGTCGACTAGTGACTAGTGCGAGAACAGTGTTGAAGCAGCATGTGGCCACCAACTGGCAACTAGGATCTCCCACACACCCAACCTGTTCAAAATGTCCGCGGCAGCCCATCGTCAAAGCTGCACTTACTCCAGGAAGTATTCAAAGCAGGACCCCTGCCGTTACAGCCATGAGTGCCAAATCCCTGGACCACTGGGCCACAAAAAATGTCACAAGATCAGCGAAGCACCATGTAAATCTCAACACATATACACACACACACACACAAAACACACACACACACACATACACACCCACACACACACACACACACACACACACACATGTTCCAGTCCCCTATAAACTCGGAAGCATCCATGCGTTCGAGAGGCAACGCATTTAGGGATGTGATGCCCACGAAGCTCCGCAGCGAATGCCTGATATACCGTCTTCACTAAATTGAAGGTGAAAAGATGAGATTTGTGCTTTGTTCGAAGGTTTGCGGCGCCTTAGACGAGGACCTTTAAACTTTAGATGTGCTGTGTCTGTGACTCACGAAGATCCACGAAGCTTCCATCTCTTTTCAGAGTGCGACAACAGGGAGCAGAAGAAACACACAAAGATGGCAGCCTTGCCGGCCCACACATCTGCAAAACGGGTGGACACACGAACAAGAGCGTCGCCGTTTGTGTTAACCCCACATACATATACGTGTGTATGTATGTGTAAATATGTATATACATGTGTACAGAACTTCAACCGGATAGGTACATATGTTTCAAGCATCTGCGCACGAATATGTAATTAATTGTATTTGTGCTCATGCATCTACGTCTACACACTCAACAGAATCAAAGGTGTCCGATGATGAAGCGGCCGATTGAATATCGGGTGCTGAAAGGCTTTTGCCGCTAAGTTTTTGGAAGCGGCGGATCGGCTGTGATTCTATTAAGCACATGTTGATTCTTGTGGGAAAGGGGTGGGAGTGTCATAACATCCTCGTCTGATGCGCCTTGTTTTTTCTGCACAGAAGCCGCTTCTACCATCGGTGCATATTTCCCGCATTTCGTGTGTGTGTGTGTGTGGTAAAAACCTCGGCAAGAAAACCCGGCTCTTGAAAGATGTTATCTTATGCTGTTTTGCCGGGGCTCTCATGGTGGTGTTGGTGAGCAACGGGACATTCACAAGTGTGGGCACAGACACGTGACATGGTGTCTGACCCTTGTGTCAGCCTCGTCAAAGTTGTGCGGTGCAGCACCCATGCACCCAAAGCCCTGACCTCGCGAACAAAATGCAGGCTTGCCAGCATTGAAAATGCGGGGCTTGTAGGTGTGCAGAGCTCTTATTGCTTGGTCGCTCGACATCCAACAGCAGGCAGACTCTCTCCCCTCGTTGCAAATTTCCTGATACTGCTGCTGAATGCTGGCACAGCATACAGTGACACCAAAAATGTCCAACCTAGCATCCCTGATGCACAAGCACAGACTCCCATAACTAATTACTCGCACCCTTTGTGTTCCGATAGTCCGCTGGCGGGTTACCTACGTGAAAATGTCAGCCTCCTGTGCTCCAAGCCCGCAAAAGCTGCTCGATACTATGCTTGACGCTTCTTGTCCAAGAGGTTCAAATTGAAGGAGGCTTTCGGATGAGAGTCAGCTTCGAGCTTCTATCGGAGGCAGCGCGGGCAGAAGCACGGGAACTTGAGGCGGTCTGCCGGGAGGGCATTGTGATCTTCCTGTCTGTAGGAGTCAATCATAAAACGCAACAACTTGCTTTGTTTTGAACTTCCTAGGACCCCAGATCTTGGGTCTTCACCTGCTGGTATATATGCCTGCCTTTCACGAGACATTGCGCTCGGCGCAACTTTGGCCTTCTGCTGCAACCACCAACTTTACAAGCGAAGATCCGGGTTGCCCAAGCTAATTCTTGGAAAATGGGCAGGCGCCAGATACTGCAGTCCCAATCTCACTAAAAGCACGTTTTCAGGTGTAGTGTCAAACAGCATGTTTTGCACCAGCAACAAATGCTCAAATGCAACAACCAACATTTCCGAATCCCTCTGCTGCCGGACTTGCATCCACCAGCCCGACCCTACACGAAAACCATTGTCACCGGGACTGCACGTCGTCTCAAATCTTCGGCGTTGCCGCGAATTCTGGTCCACGCATCTGAGACCAAAGGGCGGCCCCGCGTCATGCTGACCTCAACTTAGTCTGTTGTCTTGTACAAGTGGCGAGCCACACCGCCACAGCTGGCGGTGTGAGTGAGGCTAGCTCTGATCCCGGCGTGGACGGCGTGCTTCAAATCTTGAGCCTTCTGCCCTCCAACGCCTTGGCAGCACCAGGTCATCAAATGGACCGGGATTCCGATTCCGATCTCAGCTGCCTTCGGCAGTGATTTCCTGCACTAAACCACTCACCTGTCAAAAGGCATCTTTAGTGGTGCAAACAGCTGTCACCTGGCCAAACCTATCGGTTAAATGGTGCTCCAGCTCTGCTACTTGCCCGCCGCAGAACACAACAAGCAGCGACCAGCCGATACCTGGCTTCAGAATGCCTTGCTGTTAGACAATGCCTTGGCTGGATGTTGTTTGGCCAGTCATGATTAGCGCCTCGAGCAACTTTGTGAACCAACCGGATTGTGGTTGGCAGAAATGGTTGCATCTACGGCGGATCTACAGAAGTAGGTCTGTATCCCATCGGGCAGAGTCGGTCTGCGTGTGTCTGTATATATATATACACATGTATATAGGCCCCTCTCTTGAAGCTTAACCCGCGAACACGCAACTGATTGGCAAGTGAGATGTTGGTACGATGCAGAATATCCACCCACTCCAACTTTGACATTGCATACAAGCGTCACTAGCTGCTGGCTAGCCCTGCTATCCCTGTGTTCACTCCACCCTCCTTTGGCGAGAGCACGCGCTGCTCTATACGACTAAATGTGCAGCATCGTCCATTCGGATGCCAGGGGTCAGCGGAGCCTGTCTCTGCTGACACATGCTTCTTTTTCTGCGACAGGCAGGTTTACCCCCGGAGCCTGAACCATGTCAACACATTGACAGAAGACTACGGGCACGCGAGCAACAAGGGGAGGAGGAGAAATGTACAAACAGAGAGCGAGAGGAAACAAAAGACGGACATACAAACTGAACGTATAATTTATCTACATACATCTGTGTATGTGTGCATGCATACATACTTACATACACAAACAGATACATACACAAATCCACACATACATACATACACACACACACATACTTCTTCTTCAGTCTTTCGCAAAAGAGTTTGCGATGCGCCCCGGTGGCTCATGGCCGGCATCTTTACGAGATGCATGCTGGCCTTGAGCACCCGCTCACACTCACCTACAACAATTCTCCGCGGCCTTTGTCATGACAGGAATGAAGATAAGGAAAACGCCATTGACCGAACAAAAAGCAATGCCTGAGAATAGAATAGGAGGTAAAGGATGACCCAGTAATGAAGCCCATATGGCCTATGTGTCCAGAGCTATACCCAGCTTGTTTCCCCCCCATAAGCGTTCCAACATTATCGGATGATCCCCAAAGGGGATCACCGCACACACATACATACATACAAACAGACAGACAGCAAACAGACCGACAGACAGACAGGCACACACGTGTTTATTTATATCTGCATGTATATATATATATATATATAATATCGATGCCCAAGCATAACAACAATCGTAACATACCGCTAAATTCAGTGAAATGTAGTTGTTGAATATGTGCCTCCATGCATCCATGCGAGCAGCCATGTGCTGAAACGGGCAGGCCATAGGCACACACGCGGAGGACGGGGGATATGCGTAAGACGGAGACACGAATGCACCTGTGGTTCCAAGAAAAGCAGACAGGCACAGATGCCTTATCGCGAATACTTCTTCAACAAAACACCGCCGTTCCTTAACAGTAGCTGCTTACTCTTGCTTGCAGTTCGTTTCATGTAAGTGTGGTTGATCTCGAGCACAACATCTTGGAACTCCGAAGCCTATGTCTACGAAAGGATACAGATGGAAGGAACCATATGTATGCATATATATATATATATGTATACACATACACACGGTTGCTTTCATTCTTGTGATACATAAACACATATGCAAACTTATATATATATATATATATATACATATGCACATATGCAGATACACCTGTGCACCTATACATCCAAGAACCTTGACACATGCTTGTTGCAGGTCTGGCTGCTTGTCTGTTTGTCCGTCGGCCGGTCTGTCTAATCTATCAAACTGTGTGTATCTTTTCGTGCGCGTGAACGCGCAGGCAACAGAATTATTAGAAACAGACACACAATTGCATATGTCTGTGTCTGTGTCTGTGTCTATCTCGATGTCTATGTATACGGACACGAAAGAATACGACCATGATTATGACCCTGGAAATGACTATGGATATGCATGTATGCATGTATGCAAGCATACATACATACACAGATCCCTGCATGCGGACATCATCATACATCCATGAACCCATCCATGCAGACATGCGTAAATGTGCACGTGCTTGCATTCATGCCCAGATGCACGTACGCACCCATGCAAGCACCCAAGACCCCTTGAAGACCACCGAAATGCCTCCCGCAGAGCCCTGGCTCCGAGCCGGATCCAAGTTCCTCCTCACGCGGGCAAAGAGGCGATCTCCAGGCAAACCTTCGGTCATTTCGTTTCTGGCACCCCTTCAGTGGCCAAGGCTGACCTCTTGCCGCGCTTGGCGCTTGGCTTGTCTGCTTCTGTTTGCGATTGCTTGAACCTACGTCAGAACAGTGTTGCACATGCGATAATGCACGAGCACTGCAGTCGCGATGGCTTCCCCGTCTGAAGCCAGGTATGCCAGGTCACAGCAAAAGTCTGCGTCTCCTTATCGACAGCTTTGGTGAAGTCCCACCTTAGCAGAAACTCCCCAACACAAAGGCACACAGGGCTTACGGTTCAGCGCTTGGAGCAGCATCCTAGCAGCTTTTAAAGTCCTATATACACATATTAAGCAATTCCACTGGCGGCCAACACCCAAGATCTGCCGACAACACCAGCAATAAAGCATAAGCAGGCATACCGCTATTGCAGTGTAAGATTCAGGCTCCAGTTGGGAGCACCGAGTCATGGAATCAAGATGAAACTTCAATTCAAGCTGGCCCCATCATTTCTGCCGAATTGCATCTCCTGACCCTTTGGCAGGCCGCAGGTGCTAAGCTCGGCAAAATTATGCTGAACCTCGGTGCGTCAGTTTGTTGAATCTGACCGCTGTGTACAAGGTGTGAGGCTGAAACCTCCGGTTGTGTGAGCGGGCAGTCACAGATACCGTTGTTTGGGCAGAAGGAGCGTTGGGGGTGGGGTGGCTCGGGTGCAGGGCTTGCGGGTGGGTAAAACTGGAGGAACGGAATACGAATAAGTTTTACAGTAATTGTACGAGATCTGCAGGCTTTGGGTTCAAACAGCGCCGGCCGAATATCTTGAATTGCATGTCCTCACGATGACTGGTATATTCCCGATGCCGAATCGAATGTGCTGCAGATGCTGATCTCATTGATTCCCAACACTTGAACCACAAATCAGAAAAATCGACAATAGGACCTCTGTTTGCCATTGTGCAGGTTAAGCCAGCTACAGTTCACACTTAGACTTAACTTCGGCATGCTACACCGAAAGGAATCCCACCTCCTTGATTCGCTCGAATGTCCACACCGCGCAACCCCAAACACGCACACACTTGGAAAGACCCTCGATAAGACCGAAGTTATAATATGGGTTGGTAAGCTAGTTCACACCTTTGCAGTCACACCTCTTCAATCATGTCTCTGCATTCATACATGCTTGCACCTCACATTCGCAGATGGCCCAGTATGGAAGCAGCTACTTTTTTGGGGGTACTTTGGGCCTCTGACCCTTGCTTTTTCCTGACTTGATGTTGCCTTGGCCTCAGTGTGATACACACACAAACAACCAAACGGCCATACACACACGTCACTCACACTCACGCACACACACACACACAACACAACCAGGACACATGCCATTCGTTCGAAATGACGATGCGCTCAGGAATAGCACCAAGCCAGCAGGCACTGAATCAACAAACCTGTAGGGTTTTCAGCCGCTTGTAGAGGGGCGGGTCTCACCAGTAGAGACCCCGCAGAACTCCACTCCGGAACCCGTCCCTGGATCGCCCTGCGTTTTTCTTGAGGTAGGCATACTTCATGATTGTTCACAAACGACGAAGCACCAAAGACGGCA